CGGGGCCTGAAAGGGGATTTCTGCTCCTTATGTTGTGGTCAGCCCTTCTGTGTGATGGTGCCTTAAGAATAATGCATTTCCGTTCCTGAGCAGTGGTGAATCTCATGAGAAATGTGTGTAAGTTGATACCATTTTTGTCAGGGTTTTTGGTTCATTTGTTTTAGTTTTAGTTTTTTTGCTAAGCCTTTGAAATACTTTGGCTTTGATACAACTTGACTTGAATAATCTTCTCTCGAGTCTTCCTCCAAGGCCGTGTGTATTCCTGCCAGTACTGTAGTAGTCTTTTGGGAACTACATGTGGGTGAGCACTTGTGTGTAAGCCATTATACTGCTGTAACTAATGCATACAAACAGTCCTCTATACCTTTATAGTCTAAACGGGATATGTAGTGGGAAGGAAAATTCCTGAGAGATTCCAGCATAGCTTTGTCAATTCAACTGAGCCACACTGCTTTCCACAAGGGCTCAAACTCAGTCTATATACTGTGCTTCCAGTGTATGTTTGCATTCTCCTTTTACTGGTTTTCTTAGACTGTACTGTTCTATGAGCAAATGCCCATGTGTGATTTTTTAAAAGATGTGCTGGGAACAAATAAACAATACCAAAACTGCTTATCGTTTACAGAAATTTTTATTTCATATTGATTTCTTATAACCTTTATTGACAGCTTGATGCTGTATTCAGAAAAATAAAGATACATTGTGTACCCATAAATAGCCCCTCTGGTAGTCAAGGACATGTGCACAGATCCTGACTTTTGTCCCTGCCTGGCTCTCACTTTGGAGAGAAGGTTGTAGTTGTCCAGTCTCTTGGGAATGACTGATGAGCCGCGTTCAGTTCTGCCTTACATAATACATTTCAGTAACTGTAGCCACACTAAGATTTTACCTTTTCAAATACTTAGTTGGTTACAGTTTTCTACCTGACGTGTAGGCTTAGACTGAATGAGCCTTAGAAATCAGTCCCTCTTCTACCTACCCTTTACACAATTGCTCTGTAACCTTCCGCCTTCTCCAGGCCACCAACAGCCACTCTTCCTGAACATTGACTGTAAACAAGTGGGAATTTACTGCTTTTCCAGGAAGCCACTTTCAAGTTCTTAAGTATTGAGATTTTTTTTTTCTTGCTAAAGTCTATCTTCCTTTACTTCTAGTCCATCTGTCAATACAACTTCTGCTTTCTGTATTGTAAATAATTGTCTACATGTTTTGGCAGCTCTTAGAGTGTTTAAAACAGGTTTCATGTTCCCCCACACCTCCAGTCCTTTGCTTATGTCATTTATTAGACCCTTCACCATCCGAATCCTTGCCACATCTTCAGTTGATGTTTTTTAAGTGACATCTAGACCTGAATACACATCTCCCAGAGTAGGGCCATTGCCTCCCCTAATCTAGTCACTATACTAGTAAGTGCCATTCTGGGTAGACCTCAAACTGTCAGCTCACACTGACACTGAATTAAACGAAGTTACCTTTTCTGCGTGTGACATTTTGTCCACATCTCCCCGGAAAATGATTTTTTTTTTAAAGCCCCTGGTACTAAAATTTGTCTCTTACTGGATTTAGTTTCATATTTTTAATTTTTTTGGATCTTGTTTTACCCAGAATATTTTGTATCCTATCCAGCTGTGTGTCATTATTAAATTGAAACAAATATATCAGGATTCTCATCAGAGTAATGGCACATAACTGTGGTACATAAAGTCCCTCCTCATTTTTCATCCATGAAAAAGCATTCAAGTTCCATTTGGCATCTGTTGTCTACTTCATATTTTTGCACTTTGTCCTCAAATAGGCTCTTTATTCTATTAGTCAACATGTATTCCAGACAAACTTCAAGCAATTATGTTGACTTAACATTGTCAGCTGCCAGACTTAAATCCTGGTAAAAATTTCTGCCCAAGAAAAATAAAGTCTTAAGTAAGAGCCATCGTGTTACTTGTGTTTGTGTTTGGCCTCTGGCACATGTTTCTTCTCAAAAGACACATAAACCCATTTTCCACTGTGTTTTCTAATGTAATCTGTTGTTTGGGCCTCATATTGGCTGATGGACAAACAAATCCATCCTTGTGTAGTAGTCCCATTATATCCATTGTACTTAGTTGTGCTAACATTAGTTGGAATCTACTCTTTTTTTTGTTTAATCTGGTCCCCCCCCTTCATTCCCCTATATTGGGGATCAAACTCAGGACCTTGTGCTTGCCAGGCAGGCGGGGCGCCACTGAGCTACATCCTGGGCCCTTAATCTACAAACAAACAAAACAGCATCTCACCTTAAGAGAAGGATGGGGCTCTAAAGTCTAAATGCAGCAGAAGAGTTCTGGGCATTCAAGGTGTGCTTCATATTTCTCTGCCAGCTACTCACTACCCTTATGAGGTTTGTGGGGCAGAAGGGTTCAAAAATCACTCCCTTAAAGGTCCCCCTCTGAGTCACTTATCTCACATTTCCTAATTTTGTGTATTTGGGCATCTGACCCATAGCCCTCTACAAGCAAATCCCTCTAATATTTGGACAAACCTAATATTTGACACTTCTGTATGGATTCCAAGGTGCTCCTGTAGACCTGATAGATGTGCCTGTATTGCCCCCGCAGGGAGGCTGTGTCATCACACATGACCCAACTCCATTCCTACAGAGCTCTCCTGTTTCCCAGGGACCTACTTCCTGTGACTAAATCAGAGTTAGCCACTGGACACTGGACCTTCACAGGTGAGAGTAGTGTGAACATCCATGCCACAGCTGAGGCCATATTCAAAGAGGAACTGTCAGGAATACAAACCTTTCAGTATGCATGTCATGTGTCTACTCATCAAAGGAGTCTTGGTTCTTTACAGAAAGATCAAGTTCTAGCTCATCTCGGGGAAAAGGATGCATGTACTCGTGTACAAAAGACATGCTCAAATTTTGTATGTGTGCATATGGAGATCCAGGTTTAAGACTGAAATACTTATTTTTGGTCCTTTTAAAATAGACTGCAGATATGAAGAAATATTAAAAGCTTTATAGATGTATAGGGAAATAGTTTGTCAAGAAAAGTTCTAGTTCTAACAGGTATATTTTAGGAACATTGAACAAAGGTTTTTATCAGAGCTTTAAGGATGAAGGCTTTTGATCAAATAGCAAAATATGCGGGTCCCTGTAAAGTCCTCTGCCTCTTAGACTCAAGAAGCAGAACATTTGATTCAACAGCTGGGTGTGGTGGTGCATGCCTGTAATCCCAGCACTCGGGAGGCTGAGGCAGGAGGATTGCTGTGAGTTCGAGACCAGCCTAGGCTACATAGTTCCAGGTCAGTCTCAACTACAGGAGACCCTGTCTCAACTCCCCCTCAAAAAAACCCCAAAAAACCCCAAAACAAAAAAGAAAACATTTGATTCATTAGAAAGTGAGTTTTAATGCTATTATCCTAAAAATAAAGGGCAACAAGTGCAGAGGAGTTAGGAATGAGCTCCTCCAAGCCTCAGCTCCAGATCCTGGACTTTTAAATCTGCATCCAAATGGATTCTTCCCTGGAGAGCCAGGATAAAGAAGAGAACAAATATCAAAATTGAGTGGTAGGAGCAGTCAGTTTCCTAATCCATTGCTAGGCAGAAAATTCCAACTGCCCAGCATCAAGGGGTTAAAAACTATTCTGAAAAGTGTTTTACGTTCTGAAAGCTAAATTACACATACATGCAAACCATAAACACACAGCACCTGGGTAAATAAATTGTAACAGAATAAGGGCTGGGCTGTTTGCAAAAGGAATCTGGAAAACATTTACTTTTGACTGGTTCACATTACTTACTTTATATCTTTTAAAAATAGTTTGGTTTAGGGGAAATAGGAAAAAACTGAATTTCAATGTGGTTGTTGAAAGTAAGATTTTAGTTCACTTACTTTCCAAATCTTAAAGAGTTACAGAGATTGAGAGGGTAGTGCAGCTACTGCAGCAATACTTTTAATACAGAAGTTGTTAAAGAACAATGACCAGATGTAAAATGTGCCTTGAGATGTCCTGAAGAGATCATTAAACATTGACTGTCCTCCAAGTGTGAGATCAAGCATAACTGGTAAATGGTAGCAGCTCAGATACTAAAGATTAGAAATGCTATAAACTCAAAATTATTGACTTCACAGTAAGTCAGCTTTTCTGATCTAATAGAACTTAGCACTTAGGACTTCATGCTACTGAGGAATTATGCTGAGCCTGTGACAAAGTAGTTTTTCCCTAAAGGAGAAAACAAATCAATTCATTATGCCAAGGCTTACTTTCAGGGGAAAGCAATTAGGTTGACAAAGAAATTAGATTGAGATTCAGTAGAAAGTAATTACACTAACTAAGATCACTTTTGTAGATAGGTAAAAAAATCAGCAATATTGTATGTCAATCTAATAGTTCTATTTTTTTTTTTTGTAAGCCAAGTTGAGTTGGGGATCCACTTAAGGAGAAAAAGAAGTGAAGGGAGAAGAAAAAAATATTAAAACTCCTACAGGGTTTAGATAATAAAATGCCTGATCAGAATGTGTGGGGTTCCTAATACGACCCAAGAAAAACTATTTTGGAAGTTGTGGATTGAAATTAACATTATGATTCTGTTTTCAGAATTGACCTCTTATCAGAGCTAGGCATGGAAAGGAGTGTGGTGAGGTTGTGGGACCAACATGAAAGACTTTTCCCTACCCAAGATACTACAGTATGGAAACAACTAAAGCATATACTAAATTGAAAGCATAAAGGCAGTAATTAAGAACTGAATTATCAGGGTACCTCTGCTCTTAGTCATTATGGGAGATAAATGAAAACAAAGTTGTTATGAAAAGCATAAATAGCATATCTTGTTCATACATTCAAATTATTAACTAATGGAGAAAAATGATGGAAAAATTGTTTCTTTGATAATTATTTATTGTCTCTATACCACAGCACTGTAATTTGAGTGAAGAAAATTATCCACTGAATCTTCCCATAAATTAATTTATAATCTAAGGAAATTTTGTTAAAGCAATGGAAATATCTTAACTATCAGTATACCTTAAATACTATGTAAAACTGTGCATTCTACATTAATACAATTATGAGGATAAGTTATGAAACAAACAATCCCTGAAATGACTATTAAAAGCCTACACATCCAATACATGAATTACTTCTGAGTTTTGGAGTTAGTGTCTCCTCCCTGTGCAGGAACCCTCACGAAACATCAAAGCACCAAATTTAAAAAAGACAAATAGGTGTCACAAGTTCTAACAGACAAAACATCTTTCATCAGTTTTGATCTTTTCACAACTCTTTTTTGGGACAAAGTTATTTAATATTTGGGGTAATTTCAAAACAAGTTTTATCTATTTTTATTATAATGCTGAAACATACAAAGTTCAACATGTAACAGTTATAGAGATGCCAAAGGCTAAATACAAATAAAACTGTAAAATTTACTTAACAAATTAAAAAATTTACATTATAATTAAAGTCATTAACAGACATCATTATGTGTTCCATCCAATAATCTCATAAATCAAAGCTTTCAACTGCCTGGACTCATAAGTGACTGTGTTCTTCCCAATATGCATCCTTTCTTCTTCAAGCGGTTGCTCTATAACAGCAGGTATATCTCTGCCATGAAGTTCACAGTGTTCCAGAAAGTGCACACACTCCTGAATAACACTATCACGAAGCACTATCATGTGCTTTGACATGTTTTCTAATAAGGAAAGGAAGCATCTTTTGGCATAGTACCAGGTATCAGTTCCCAGTTTTTTATTGTAAGGTTCCAAGCTTTTCATAACCCGAGAAATGCCAAAGTCGTAATTTCCTTTAGCACAATAGAGCGTTCCTATCACCAGATTCACAATGCAGAGATGGTAGATTTTCTTATCTGGGTCAACATACGACAGCTGCTCTTCCTCCTTTTCAATCTTCCTCATCAACTCCTCAGCTTCTTCATTTTGACTGGTCATGACATAGGAAACACAGAGGTTAGCTAATACAATGGCACTGACATTCAAGATGTTATCGTAATGCTTCTTGACTATGGGTTCATAGAAACCAATGGCTTCCCTGTATTTGTTTTCCTGCATGAACAGAACATGAGCTACATTCAGCCTCCACACATCGTGGTCATTACAGAATTCCACAGATTTGCGGAAGATCTTTTCCACCATTGGATAATTTTCACGATTCCAGTAGATTTTTGCTTGGGACATCAACACGGGAATATATTTCTCAAGAGTTTCGTCATACTCATTCAATGCCTTTATGACAGTATCATCAGCTCTACTGTGTCTTGCTTCCTGTACTTGCTTGGTGAGTTTCCGGAGCTGCTCAGTCAGCTTCCCTGCTAGTCCATCGAGCTTTATGAAGGCCTCTTCTGGAGCCGTCTGGCAAGTGATCATGGCATCCAGGAATTCATAGAGATAGGGTGTGAGGAAAGTACAGCAGCAAGAGGTTGCCAAAAGTCTCTGGAGGGAAGGGGTTCTGTTGGAGCAAGAACTGTAGCTTTTCAAGTCCTTCTGTAGGCCTGGTATCCATGTTCATGAGTGCCTGGTTGTGCAGGGTCACAGGGTCCAACTCTTCCTCTGCCCTAGGTGGCATGTCAGTGAGGGCTTCCTGAGCCGCCTCGTAGTTTTTCAGCTGGTACTCTATGGCTGCCTTGAGGTTGAAGGCTTCCACCAGGGCAGTCTGGTGGAGGACTGAGGTGTTGCCAACACTGCGAGCATCTATGCCCTCAGTGGTCATGCCCACGCCGAGCTCAGGGTGCTGACGGATGCCACGCTCAATAATGTCGGAGATATGCTTCTGAGCCTGGCCATAGTGCCCATTGTTATAATAAGCCAGCGCCAAGTTGTAGGAAAGGTCTGGCTGGTACCCTGAAGCCTGCAGGGCCCCAAGGAACTTAGAACACGCAGCTTCGTAGTGGCCCTCCCTGTACAGCAAACAACCCAGGTTGATCTGGCCATCGCGGTCATTCTCTCCCCCACTCTCTTCTCCTGCTTCCCCACTCAGCAACTGCTCTACTAGGCTCCTGGCCCCTGGCAGATCGCCCTCACTGTACTTGATAGCAGCTTGCAGGCGGAGGACCTGGCTGTGATAGGCCGGGTTGTCCAGGAGGAGGAAGGTGACCCGAGTGGCCTCTGGATAGAGGCAGGCCTTGTACAGAGCCTGGGCCTGGTAGAGGCGGTACTGCTCGAGTTCTGGGTGCAGCTGGCTCAGCTGCTCATAGCACTCTGCGGCCAGCAGGAATTCCTGCAGGCGGTAGTAGCAGTAGCCCAGCAGCGACAGGCCGGCGCGGCTCTTCGGGCTCCGCTGCAGCTCAGCGGCCAGCACCTGCACCGCTTCGGAGAAGTGAGAATCGCGGATGAGTCGGTACACCACCGCGGTGAACTCTCCGTCCGGAATTTGTGAGTTATTCATTCCCGCCATAACCACCAAAATTGTTGTCTGCTCGTTTCCAAGGCTAAGAGCCAACCGGAAACGGAAGTCTGTCCAGCAGTTGCTTTACTGGGAAAGGAAACCGTTAGGAATAGAAATGAACCGAAGATGTGAGTCTCTCAGTTTCTTAAACTTAGCGTTGAAATACTGAGGATTGAAGACAGGTAGGAATCGGGAAGACAGAGGAAACGCCAAGCCTTACAGACGCTGAAACTCTACTTCCCATCATGCACCGTTCTGGTCGCGTCGCGCTGCATGCTGGGAGACGTAGTTTCTACCTCTACGACGCACGTTTTAAGGGATAACACTCTTTTTTTCCTCTGCTAAAAGAATTGCTCTCAGTTTTTTTGTTTGGTTTTTTGTTTGTTTGTTTGTGTTGGTACTATTTCGGTCTGTAACGAGACCAGGAAAGATTTAGGATGCTCACCATTCACTGTGCGGTGTCGTTTCGCATTTGGTGACAGGAAAGAGATTGAAAAGTGGGTTTTTTTGGCCTTTGGATTCCCTTGGAATTAAAAGTAGAGAGTGTCCTCTAGCTGTCCTAAGGGCACACTTTCTAAGAAAGTGCAACAACCAAAAGTCCTTACTTTCTTGGTTTCCAGAGGATGAAGAGGTGACCTACTGAGAGGATCAGTTTATATCCAAGCATCTCCCTCTCCCTTTTTTCATAAATGACAAATATTACTGAGCACATGTTGGGGTTTAATTTAGCCATTTCCAGTTTTAACTTCCATACCAGGTAAAATCTTTAGGGAAATGCATGACCTTATCTGTTTCACGGTGAAAAAAAATACAAGACTAGCAAGTGCTCCTTTTCTATGCGTTGTTAATTTTCTAACTCTACCTCCACTAAATTATGTGTGATATGTGGATGTGCGAGAGGTAGAGAATACTCAGTTTTTACTTGTCAAGAGTGTAATGATGTTTTTGGATATTATTGAGCTGATTTGAAAATGAATTATTTTCAGTTGAAAACGTATTACCCACATCCCTTCCTCCCCTTTCTGTCCAGCCCCCAGATTCTTCCTTTGAAGATCTCTGGGTAGATGTGCTATACTGTACAAGAAACACTCTTGGTTTTTCTTTTGTTCCTTTTTTGAACATTTGGAATAGATGCTCTAAATTCCAGATTTTTATTTCAGGGCTACTTTTTTTTTTTGTACCAGGGATCGAACTCGGGTCCTTGTGCTTGCGCGGCAGGTGGTGGCACCACTGAGTTGAATCCTGGCCCAGGGCTATTTTTATATAATTAAAAATTTTTAATAGTGCCCATGATGAGGGCGGGGGAAACTTGGAACTTAATTATCCTACAAGATCATTTTGAAACACTAACAAAAAAGACAGATTTGACTGACTTGACTAGAATTTATGGGAGAGAAAATACAAATTTTTAAATATTAGAGCAGTACTGTACATAAGGCAGGAAAAATACAAAACTGGCTTTACCTTAGTGAGATAATAGTAAATTGTATGGTTTTCAAGATAATAGATATTCCTCGTTTAACGACATACTGGTTAACGACCGAGCGTTCAGACTTAACACCGAGGTGTGCTTTTTTGGGGGGTACAGTTCTGTACATCTTGTTTATAGAGAATCAATGTTGTCTTTTTTTGTATAGTACTCCTTGTTTGTGATTTTTGCGGATTGCACTGTACAGTGCAGGACTATAGTTTTATATTGTTACACGTTACAGTACTGCATGTAAGAGTTATGCAAATAAAAGCAAAGTCACCAAGTTGGAGTTTTTTTGCCCATTTCTTCGTTCTGAATATTATAATGCTATATACATTCCTTATTTTGTGACCAATTCAGCTATCTAGCCGCAGAAACATAACTCATAACTTGGTCATTAAATGAATACTGCCTGTAATCATACCAAACCAGGCTGCATCATATGCAGCGCCTCTGCCGGCAACCTGGGGCAGGGCATTGTGATTCAAAGTCATCCACCATCTTCTCTGTGGACCTCACTAGCACATACTGAAAACATCCAAGTGAAAGCATGTCTTTGCTTTGTAATGAAAGACTCCAGTGCAAATTTTACTTTTCATTTTAAAAATTTTCTATATATAAATTTTGGAGCTGACACCAACCATATTTACATAGCACTGTACTAGGTTACTTACATACTAATCTTATAACTACCCTGGATATTGCACATTACAGATAAAGAACCTGTGGCTCAGAAAGGTTGAATAGCTTTCCCAAGATCACATAGGTCCATAGGAAATGGCTGAAACATGTTATCTAAAAGCTATGTTCAGAGAGAAATTGTGCCTGTTGAATCAACTCAATTCACACATGGGCCCAACTTTGACAGAAAATTAGTGAATTACTTTTAAAAAATTGTTGTCATTTTCATGTTAAAGCAACCAATCACTCTGATTTGGGCAGTAGATATTTGAATTTCCTGGCTTGAGCTGCAGTGGTGAGCAGCTATTAGGAAGTAGTTAGAGGGTGGTGTAGTTCCCAATCATCTGTTACAGTTATAAAGCGTCTTCATCAGTCATATAAATCCTAAAACAAGTGATTTCACATACATTTTTCTCTTGATGGGTGTTCTGACAGATTTGTATTCTTCTGGAGACCAGAAAAGAAACCTCCTACTACATGAATACAAAAAAACAAACAAACAAACAAATAAGACTGTACCCTGGGAGGATTGAGTGTAGCTCTGGACCACCATACAAGATCACTAGAGAAAACAGCCAAAGAAGGACACTTCCTATACCAAGACACTATTCCAGGGCATCCTTGAACTCAACCTCTAGCTGCAGCCTTTCTGATCTTTGAACCAGAAACGTGTATGGACTAAGAGATGCTGGCTAATGTTGTTCAATAACCAGGGAGTAAGGAATATTATCCATTATGCCAGCCTGGTTGATGACCCTTGGAAACTATCCAAAAGACTCAATATTTTCAAATTCTCCAATCTTGAGCCGTTTCTTTGGATGTTACTATTAAATTAAGGTAAGATGATAGAACACAGACACAAGAAATTGCCTTTCATAGCTTTAGTCTTTTCCTTTGCTTTGCAGAGTAGTTGTATTTGCATCATGAAAAAATTCACCTTTAACTCACTTCCTGAAAATGTATGCAAGATAAAAGGACTATTTGCTCTCCCTCAAATAACTTTGATGCTAGAGGAATCAGTTGGGGTTCTTTTCTCTGTGTTACTACCTGTCTGTGAGCACAGCAGGTGAAGCGGGCAGGAGGGAGGCCATTCTGTGTCTTCCTCCTTATTTCATGTGATGATGCTCCAGAGGCCTGGCTTGCAAAATGTAGGACATTTGGCTTAGACAGATGGAGGGCAGGCTCATTTTCAAAATGAAATGAGCGAACCAGCCACACTGTGACACTGGCATGACCATCGCTGCTACTGTGATAGACTGAGTTTTATTAGATCTGTCATAGGCAGTTGGGGAATAGGTCGTTTTTTTAAGAAGTAGCAGAGATGGGCAGAGATCCTTTACTCAACAATAGAAATTCTGAAAAGCAATAAACTAGGTGGAATATTACATCATAAAGAATCATTTTGTTTGCAATAGAATCTTGAAAAATCTGGAGCACATAAGTCTATGGTACTATTCCCTGCAATAAGAAGGCATTTGGTGTCTGCTATAAAATGATTTAATGCCTTATTGAAAGGAATTAGGCTCACAGGAAATGGTTTAGGACTCACACTGGATTTTGCTGGGTAAGAGAAGTTTATTTGCCAAGTGGAGGAATTCCACTTAGGCAAAATAAATAGAGGTGAAAAACATGATGTTTGGTTCTTAACATATTTATGTTTCTGCCTGCCAAGATATGATATGACAAAATCTCATGTGTATTCCATTTGGCAGTCTTTTTTAAAACTAATTGTAAGTGATTGTTCCTTATTTGTTTTGAAAAAAATAGCCACTGGGCATTGATATACATTATTTATTTATGAGTATTTAAACCATAGCCATCATCAGACACCTTCCTCAATAAAAGAAAACCTTCTGCAAAACCCTTGTTGTCATTTTGGTCTCCCATTCATTTCAGGCCATTTTTGTCAGGATGTCCAGTTTGGTCATCCTACTTTCTCCATATTTTCTGGAGTCCAGATCGACGTTTTTGACCCTGTGTATCCACTAATGATGATAGGACTCATCCTTCTGCCAAAACCTCCTTTAGTTTATACCCTACCAGCCCTCGAAACAAGAAAGAAAAGAATAAATTAGTGCCAAGTTTGAAGTGTAGTTGGAAGACCTTTAGGAGTATCTTTTATCAATCTTTTAAGACTCTTAGGAAAGACACTACCAAAGCAATGCTTGGGAGCATTTATCCAAAATGGTGGGAACGTTAACTTCATTGTGAGATTAATTTTTTCTTGAGTAGTTCCATCTCTTTTAATAATTTTAATAGTATATCCTTATTGAAATATCTTGGTTTTGATTAAGTGGTTTCTGTTTTGGGGTTTATTGTGTCATTATCCAAATTAACTTTACAAAGTAAGATGGCTTATGAAAAGCAGAGAAGACACAGTTATGGCTACTACCATTGAAAGATTCCAGAGTTGGAGTTTGTTGTGGGGTGTACTGATGGGTTTGCTACCCAAATTACCTTATTTGAGCATTTTTTTGCTGCTTTTACTTCCAAGAGGCAAAAATAATTTGAAGTATCTCTTCTATTCTCTAGAACTAGTACCATTCAAACTCAGATATAGCCTGCACATCTGTCTGCATTTCAATACAGCTACAAAAATAATAAATTGGATTGAAAATGTCTTTGATGTCCATGATCAAAAGATCAGATTTCTAAGACAAAAATATCATCAGCCTCCGAACACCTTTTCTGACTTGTAAGTTTTCCATACTGTTTGTCTATAGTGTCAGAGAACCATCTGTAATGCCTTTGATAACTAGCCATCCAGTTGTCACAAGTGACAAATTTTCATTTGACTATTGCCTAAGATGTTATAGGCCTAGTCTGATTTTACACCTTGAGCACGATTATGCAGAATTGTCTTACTGTATTATGCTAAGCTTAATGCATTGAATACAAGTAGCTCTCCTCCAACCACATCAGTTTAAAGAATGATTAAGAACTAGATGACAATTGCCATGATATTTGATTAGTAATATAATTGCTATGCTATGTTTTGAGGATTTGTGGAGAAAATCTCATGTGTTACAGTCCAGATTTGCAGGGCCAGTGCTAGTAGTCTAATCTAGAAATGAAGCCATTCTCTGGCCTCTGCCTCTTTGGCTGCCTTGCCCTTTGTTTCCTGGCTGCCACGAGACAGGCAGGTCTCCTGTGCCGTGCCCTTCTACTATGATGCTCTGCCTCCTTCAGGCCCACAGCAATGGAAACAACTGACCATGGACTAAAGCCTCTAAACTGTAAGTCAAAAAAACAAAAATCTGTCGCTCTGTAAATTGTTTTTCTCAGGTATTTGCTCTGAGCTACAAAAAGTTAACACAACTACAATCACTGTTTTCCAATTTCTACCGCTACTGTGGCTTTTGCTGCTACCATCTCTTCCTGGATACTGCCACTAGCCTCCTTGTTGGAGCCTCCCACAACTTTTGAGACACTTTATCTACCTTTTCTGGTCAGGAATTTATTTCTGGGGACCTCACACTTTTACTACTTAAACACACTTTACTGTTTCTTTGAGGAGATTGTGGGAATTTTGTGCAAAATAGGACTTCCAGGTGGCTTCCTTTCCCACGCCATCGTTTGTGTGCCTGGTGTGTAGAAAGTTGTTGCTCACTCCAGTGACTCTTGCTGCCTTAGTGTATGAAAGTGTCTTGGGTCTGCTTTGGAAGAAAAAGCTCCACATATGGTATTAGACAATGAGAGTAACGCTGAGAACTTGTATCGAGTTAGTGACTTTCTTCTTGTGAAATACTTAATACCATTGTTTCGTTCTATAAGTACTTAATCAATGGATCTCTAAATCTTCTTTACAGGTAATTTTGTCCTTCTCTGGCCTCAGCAAATGGAAAAGGCCTTTTTGCCTTCTATTTTTAAAGAACCTATAGACATAAAAAACAAGGAAATAAACAAAAAACATGGAAATGATCTCAGGTGATATATATGTTTGAAAGCAGCAAATCTGGTATAAAACCATCCGATATCTAATCCCTGTTCCCCAAACACCAACATTGTAGCCACGGAAAATGTTCTTAACCTTTGAAGTATCATAATTCATGTATTGGCAAAATAGGGTCAAAGATTCTTTTTTGTTTTTCTCTCTCATTGAGTTTATCGGTACATTTTAGGTATACAGTACAGTTACATTCATCATTGGGATCTTGTACCTTTACATGACAGGTCTTGGTTCTCGTTTTTTACTCTTGTCCCTGCCCCCCTCCTACCCTCCCCATTTGCAAACACTTTATTTCCATTTTCTCATAGTTTTTTCTTTTCCCTTATTACCTTTTCCACTTTCCCTACACATTTAGCCCTTTTCTTCCTATTTCACATTGTCAATTATGTCATTAGGATCTTATGTACTATAAAAATTCTATGTAAATTTGTTATGAGAGGTTAAAATCATGCAAAAGCATAACAGATACTCAGTGAATTTTAACTGTTATTATTTCATAAACAGAGCTATGGAGGATTTTTTTGAAATCTTACTAGGCTATCTTAGACTTAAACAACTATGACCAAACATTGATAAGCTAAACATCTTCCGTCTAAGAGTAGATGTTCTCCTGGTACCTCAGATGTTACGTTCCTAAGAGTTTCTGATGAACTCCAGAATGTAGAAGGGTAATTATGTGGCATAAATTAGTGCCTTCATTAAACCTGCTTATCTAAAAAATGAAAGCTCTAAGTTACCTTATTTTTTTCATTTACCAAATTAGTGAGTGCTTCCTCCACTCAAGACATTTTGTATTCTGGAAGATCAAGAACCTTCAAGAAATTTACAGTATGAAGGACATACTACATAATCACAGCCCACTGTAATAATGCAGTGCCTTTAAAGTGATACAGTACCACACAGAGGTTCAGAGTAAGAGTGAAAACAAACACTTGTGTGGCTAAACAGTGGTTTGCCACAATATCAGACAGACTTTTTTTTATTTTATTTTATTGTTTTGGTACCGGGGATTGAACTCAGGTCCTTGTGCTTGCAAGGCAGGCCACCGAACCACTGAGCTAAATCCCTGGCCAGACAGACCTTTATAAAAAATATTTTCTAAGGCCCTCTTTACTACCTATTTTGAAATGAAATTTATATATTTCTATATAAATATGCATTTATATTACACACCATGCATATATACACTTATATAAATAATATACATTTAAATAAAGATCTATATGAATATGCATTTATATAAATATATAATCTATGCTATTGTACACATAATTTATTTTCATTTCTTCTTTTTTAAATATCTCAGATACATAATTTTATTTTATTGAGGCATTGTTGTTGATCTATAGGCATGGTTCTCTTCTAACCTTCCACCTATTTGGTTAGGTAGCCTTATTTTATTTTGTTTGTTTCACACCTTTTAAAATAGTGCCTATTGGCTATACAGATTGATGAGCTTCATTATGGCGTAATCACACATATAACCTGCTTTGATCATTTTCACTCCCCACTGCCCACCTTGTCCTGCCCTCCTTCCCTAGTTTTATTTTTTTTAGAGAGGTTCAATATGGAATATATTTTGGTCATATCCATTGCCCCTTTACTCACCCTTGCACCCCTCCCCCTTCTTCTTTTTCTCTTAGCTAGTAATCTTCCTTCTACTTTTTTGTAGGCTCTTTTAGATTCCACATATTAGGGAGAGATAGCTTTAATGGTGTAAAGAATATCAGTGAAGCCATCACTCACTGTATTAGTCACCTTTCCAATACTGGGACAGAATACCTAACCATTTAGAGGAGGATGGACTTATTTTGATTCATGACTACAGAACCAGGATTCAGTCCGTGGTTAGTTAGCTCCAAGGCAGAAACATTGTGGTAGAAGGGCTTGGTAGAAGAAGCCGCTCAATTCATGATAGCCAGGGAGCAGAGAGAGCAGGAAGGGGTTGGGGACAAGATATACCCTCCCAGGCCATACCCCTGTGACCAATCTCCCTCACCTAGGCCACAACTTCTAAGATCACATTCAACTATGAACTCATCCATGGACCCCCATGATCCAAGCACCTTTCAAGTCTGAACACAGACTTTTGGGGGCCATTCTCGATCAAACCAGGACACCCATAAAACACTTCTGACTCTGAAGATTCCTCCTTAACCAACCTTTTGTCTCCTTTGTCTGGTGTAACCATTACCTGGAATCCTATGCTTTAATTGTCTTGCATTGTTGTTGATCACATACCCTTTGGTATGGGTGTGTGTGTGTGTGTGTGTGTGTGTGTATTTTTACATATAGTTTCACTACATCTTTTCTTTTTTTCTTTTTCTTTCTTTCTCATTTTTTAATATTGGAGATTGAACCCATGTTAGGCAAGTGCTCCATCACTGAACTATACTCTCAGCCTTTTCTTTAAAAATTTAATTTAATTTAAAAAATACAACACAGAGTCTCTGTTGCTCAAGCTGGTCTTAAATTAGTGATCTTCCTGCTTCAGCCTCCCCAGTAGCTGGGATTACAGGAGTGCACCACTGCACAAAGCTATATGAACTTCTTGAATGTATTTTCATTTAAAATGCTTTAACTTTATTAAAACAGTTCAGGGATGGGGGTTTAGCTCAGTGTTTCTGCCATCTGCCTTGCAAGCCCAAGATTCCAAGTTCAATCCCTGGTACCAAAAACAAAACAAAACAAAAAAACAGTTCATATAGCACATATGATTTTCACTTATACAGTTAAATGAGTCATTATGGATTCACTAGCTA